TGTGTGTGTGTGTGTGTGTGTGTGTGTGTGTGTGTGTGTGTGTAATTTTAAGGAAATTTTTTTGTGTCCAAAGTCAGATCAGTCAAATCAACTCTAAATCCATGAGTCATTCAAGAACCATACCTTCACCTCCACCTGGGGCTTCAGATGTTTCCAAATCCTTTGGTGGGCACCCTACATGCAGGCCCAAGCCCAGAAGCTTGGGGTTTGGATGGACTTTTTAAAAAAATTATTTAATTTGTATCTGAGGCCAAATTAGCCAAAACTAATTCCAAATCCAAGAGTCCAGAACCATAAGTGGCCCTACTACCGGCAAGCATCCTCCACCCACACCTGGGGCTTCAGATGTTTCCAAAAACTTTGGGGGGCATCCTACAAGCAAGCCCAAGCCAGGAGGCTTGAGGTTCGGATGTCCCCAAGTTTTGCTTGCCTTCAGCCATAAGGCCCTCAGAGCAAGCAAGGGAGAAGACTCCCATTTCCATAAACTGGGCTTCAGTCTGTTGCACCTTGGCAGGTACTGAACCATGCCAGAAGAGCAGTTCTCCTGTGGGGCAGTTCAGGAAAACTGCCTTCTTGGACACCTGTACATGGTATTCCCCCTGCCAGGTTAAGAAGCCACTGAGCTTGACCTGAGCCTTCACAAGGCCGAGAGGCAATGGATCGGTGGTTCAAGGATTGGACTCCTAAGTAATCCCAAGACCCACCAGTGAGGTGTGGTGGAGATTGTCCTCGGGCTGAAGGGCTGCCCATGACTCCTCAGCGTTGCCTAGCTTCTTGCCCTGATTTCAGTCTCGGCGGCTTCTACGCTGCCCTTCCCAGGGGGCAGGACTGAGGGGAGGGGAGGGGAGGCAGCCTGCGCCTCCGCACGGGGCTTGCTTATCTCTTGGCTCTCCCTCGCCCCGAGCCTATTCCAAGGGCTCGGGTGTCCCGGGAAGGCGGGGGCCCGTTCCCGGAGCGGGAGAGGCTGGGTGCGCCCTGCCTGCCCCGCCCTGCCCTGCCCTGCCCTGCCCATCCAGAGGCAGAGCCAGAGCCAGTGTGCGCGCCAGACGGCGGGCGACGGCAGTCGGGCGATGTGGGCCCTCCAGAGAGAGCTGCTGGCGGAAGCCGCGCTGGGTAGGTGCCGCCGGCTGCTCTCCCGCGGGGATGCCGGGGGGGCTCTTGCGCCTGCCCGGGCTCGGCGCGGAGGCGCTGGGAGTCCTCCCGCCGTGGCCATGCGGGGCGGCTCGAGCCAGAGGGTCCCGCTGCGCGGGGGGGAGGAAGAGCACCGGGGCCTGGGGCAGCCCGCGGGGGCGGCGGGGAGGGCGCTGCTCCCTGATCTGCTGGGACTGCGTGCGTGTGGGGCCGGCTGTCAGTTGTCTGTCGGACCAGCCTTCCCTGTGATGTGCTGAAATTCCGCGCTGAGCTCTGCTGCTACAGGTCCCCGGACCTGTGTAGACCCTCTTTGCACACTCCATTTCTGGACGCCAGCTTTGCTTTGTTTGATTCACAAACAATCCCCTCGAAGAGAAGAAGTGGCTCTTCACCTGCCTGTATTCATTGTCTAAATGGAGAAAAGAAACCTCCGTAGACAGGAAAATGAAAAAAACCCCAAACCGCTCCTTTTGCATCAGGTATCCAGGTTGTAGCCATATTGGCCTAGAGGAAAAAGCAATCTGGACTTGTAGTAGAAATGGTATCTTTTATTAGACCAACGAGATTTTTGCAAAAAAAATGTTCTTTAATTGCAAGCTTTCAGACACAAACACCCTTCATCTGGCATTGGAGAAAAAATTATAAGTTTTTCTGGGTAGAAATGAAAGTTCATAGTTCAGAGGATTTCACAGAGGAGTCAATAGATGGAAAACTCCTCTGGGCCATCAGTTCATAGCTGGCTCTCATCTCTATGTGAGGTTCTGTGATGATGCAGATTACCTTGGAACAAAGGCAGGAGCTCCGGTTTCAGGTGGTCACAGTTGCTTCCTGCTTGGAAAATATGCAGATATGAAGTCAGCATGACCTGCACTTATCAATATAGCTTTTGAATGGATGAACTGTTCTTGTTTATGTTCCCTCCTTGTCTTATCTGTTTATGTTTCAAATATAATTATTTGACTTGAAATAAAAAAAAAATCTCTCCAGAGAAGAGCTGCTACTGAAAATTCACAATCTGAACTCTAACTAGTGTATTTTAGGTGTAAATACATCTCAAGTAAAACATGATAAGGAAAACACATTAATGTCACTCTTTTACCTTTCTTTTAGGTTACATTTCATGGTCTCTTTTCCATGCCTTCCCATCTATGATTTATTACTTCCCCCTACAAACATTGGCACTTACTGGTTGGGAAGTTATCGCCTTTGCTTATTTTTCTCCAGTATTCTTAATATTTGGTCCCTTTTGGAAGTTGGCTAACAACAAGTATATGTTAGCCCTGCTAAGACTGACTATGGTTGGTAAGTATGCTTTATGGTCTGTTTAATATTCAATTGATGGAACGGATTCAGTTGATTGTAATGGATCTTTCACCTTAATAACTTGGTACAAAATTGGACATTCCGTGTTTTAAAATAAATTATGAGAAACACTCCATGTGTTCATGGCATTGGTTTTTAGAACAGTACAGCAGAGTTAAAAGTCATTTTTAATTCTGTTAATAAATAGAGAATTTCATATCAGTACAAATTCACATTCTATAGGAAAAATGCTCTTTAAAGATTATATTATGCAAACTTTGGCACACCAGATGGGCTTGGGACCCTTCTGTAAATCTCATGTCTTTGACAGTAGTCAGAATCCAGAGCCTTTGAAGGCATTTGTAAGAAACCTTTTGATGGACACTTATAAAATGCCCTACTGAGGGGAAAGTTTCTTTCTAATTTATCGGTCAGTAGCTGCCTTCTGCCTTGAAGCACAGGTTTTCTATCCTTTCTTCTGGGGGTGGTGAAGCACTGGAACAAGCTACCTAGATAGCTTGTGGAATCTCCGTCTATGGATGTCTTTAAGATCAGGCTGGACAAGTGTTTGTCTAGAATAGTTTAGACAGACGTGATCCTGCCCTGAGCAGGATATTGGACTAGATGACCTCCCGAGGTTCCCTCCAGCCCTATTTCTCTATAATTCTATGTCTTTTAAAATGTAATTTAACTGGAGATGTTCTGAGTCTTTATGCACATTTCTAAATCTGACTCCTGAGGCCTTGGAATTGCAAGTAAGATACTCGGTTGCAAGTAAATTCCAAAACTAAATAAAGTAAGGGGTAAAAACAGTATTTTGTTTTATCTTTAAAATATGTTGCTTTTCAGTTTCAATGAACATCTTTTGGTATTAGGAGAGAAGATGATTAGGAGTACCCTGCTTATTTTCTCCAAGCTGTTGATTATTTTGTAAATCTTCATCCTATCACCTCTTATTAGTTTTCTCTCTTTGTTAACCTATTTCTCTTTTCAATCTTTCCCTAAATAGTAGAGGTGAGCCGATACATTGGTTCAATATTGGATTGGCACCGATATAAAGAAAATTGACTGTATTGGAAATCAGCCCAATGCAGCTGATAATTTGGCTGATAATTTGGCTGATAAATGCCTGTGCATGCGTGCAGCCACAGCACAGCATGCAGGAAGTGAGGAGCACAGCCCGGCAGTGTGGGGAGCTGCATGAAGCTGGTAAGTCTGTTGTGATGGAAGGCTAGAGGGGAGGGGAGGGAAGGGGTGTGGGGTGGCAGATCAACGCCCCCCATGGTGAGGGAGGGAGTGGGGCTGGGGCTGAGGTAAGTGCTGCACAGCCGTGGTGGGGCGGGGCATGGGATGGAGCCATGGCTCATCTGGGGAGTGCAGGGGGGCGTGTGCCCCCCAGATCTGTGCAGGGTGGGGTAGGCAGGCTGCAGCTGTGGACTGGAGCCAGGGCTGTGCTGGGCTTTTTTTGGCAGGGGGGCTGGGCTTGGGGTGGGTGGTGGCAGTGCTGGAAGGGAGCTACCAAGGGGGCTGCAGCCACTCCAAATTTCACTTTAGCCCACCCCAACCCACGTCTCAGTGGCACCACTGTCTGCCCAGAGCAGCCCTGGCTCTTCCCAGCACATAGGTGGAGGCAGGGGTTGAGCTGGGGCTGTGCTGGGTAGGCTGTGGTAGTGCTGGGAGGGGGGTGTTGTAAGGCACTATGGTAAAATTTGGAGTAGCTGCAGCCCTCCCCCATAGCTCCCTCCCAGCGCCACCACTGTTCGCCCTGAGCCCAGCCCCTGCCAAGAAGAGCCTGGCACATCCCTGTCTCCAACCTGCAGCTACGGCCCGCCCTCCTCACCCCACACAGATCTAGGGGGCACACGCCCCCCCATGCCCTCCCTGGGTGTGCGCAGTGGCAGAAGCTGCCCCTCCCCCCCCTTTCCAGTGTTCCCCAGACAAGCTGCGGCTCTGCCCCATACCCCACCCCACCCCACCCAGCTTGGCAGCATCTGCCCCAG